GTGTATATGTGTAGTATATGTGTATGTGGTGTGTGTGTCTGTGTGTTATTGTGCTCTGCCACATTTGGGACTTTGATAGGAGATGTTGACAACTTTTCTCAGCGTGCAGGGAAAAGTGAGGCTACCTTTCCTGTCAAGCTGGTTTTAAATAAAGAGAGTGTGCTGAGGGTGGGGGCTGGAGAGATGGTTTGGTGGTCAAGAGCATTCGCTGTCCCTGCAAAGAAGCAGTTTGTTCCCAGGCGCTCACGTGGCTGCTCAGACATCCTTAACTCCAGTTACATGGGGGTCAGACGCCCTCTTCTGGTCTCTGTGAACACTACACACATGTGGTGCAGGTATGTACATTCAGGTACTCATACACATAAAATAAATCTTTAAAAAGAGAGAGAGGGAGCATACTTTTTTTACTACAGGGGGAAAAATGGATGCAATCTAGACGGTTTTGTAACCTTAGGTTGTAATCTGAGTGGAAAATAAGTACATCTTTAAAAGTTACCACTGAAATTTGAGTTCATTATTTTGTTAAAAATTGCTTTTGGAGTACTTCTTCATGTTACAGAAGCCATCGTGAAATGAAACTAGTCTAAAAAAAATTAATTGTGGTGTGGGATTGCAGCTGTACCTGAAATAAAAACGTTATTGATGACAAAGAAAAAAAAAGAGGATGGTTAGAGTGTAGCAGTGACCAGCCCCTCTCTCTCTCTCTGAATAGTTTGTGGCGATGTCTTTATTATGTGTCTGTATGTAATCCTTGGGCAACTCCAAAATTTTAACATGCTTGACGAGGCTGAACAAATTGACGTGTTCACTCACCCACCTCTCAAAAGCCATCTTCTTATTGAACATGTACTCTAAAGAGAGGATCTTGGTGGGTTTGTGGTAAAGCAGGTACTTGTTCAGGTGACTCTCGCCGTACCCCAGGGTGTCAATGTTATTGGACTGATCTGTTACGATCATCTGGTGACAGGCCGCAGTGAGCCTGTGTATCTCTGCCACTGATCCCCCAAACAAGGACCCTGTGTAGTAAAAGTCCCCCTCATCATTTGGGATATAAGCTTGTGACTTAGGCCGCCGTTCATAGGGTAATACCTCCCGGCTGGCCATGTAGAAGCTCAAATGGAGGGTGGCAAACAGAGGAGAGAGAATCTCCACACCCACGTCGTGCTGGAAGCTGACGTCCACATCGGAGCACACCAGAAAAGCCACCTCCTTGTGAAAACGCTGTTTGGAATAGATGCTGATGAACTCCAGACGCTGCCTGGAGATGTCCTTCTGGTGCTCAAAACTCGGGATCTGGAAGGTGATTGCTTTTCTTCCGCTCTGGAGGGGGATCCGAGGAACCGCGTGAGGTTGGTCAGTAAAGATGTAGTAGTTCACCCTGTGTCCCGCCATGAAGAACGCCTCCGCGGACCTTAGGAACTGCTCCAGGTACGCCGTGTAGTTTTGAGAAGCAAACACAGTCAACCCAATGGTAGCGTTCCGGAGTTGGAACTGCTTGTTTAAGATGTCAGTGTTGAAAGTCCCTTCCCACACAATCGGGGAGAGCCAACTGGTCAGCACAAGGACATCCCTCCTAGTGGGTTTAAGTGCACTTGGCTGGGGATATATCAGCTTTGGTAATGGTCTGTCTTGCAGCCAATACTGTTTTCTCTCACCCGCATCTGCCCTGATTAGCTCACTCCTGTGAATCTGGTTCTTCTGGTGCCAGTAGCCACAACCAAAGATGGCCAAGAGAAGAGCAACGAGAAGAAAAGTCACTTGGTGAAGTGACAAGTATTGCATAGACAATGTCCACAATGACCTGGCCATGGCCCACGTCGGATAGATGATGGCTGGATCTGTTAACACGCTCAGCGACCTGTCCCTGCCAAGAGACGAGGTGAGATGCATGGATCATGGGACATGCATGTTTCCTCCCACTCCTCCTGAGCCCCTATCACAGTTCAAGAGGTACCTGAAAGCAGGGTGTTCAGGGTTCCCCAGCGGAGGATGGTTCCAGAGATGCTACATAAGTTCATAAATTCAGTTTGGACTTGAGGTTATGCCAAAAACTTGCTCAGGGGGACCCAGTCAGCAGGCAAATGGATCTTCAGGGCCAGAATATGGAAATCAGGGCTCCTGAGACAGGGTGATGTGGACACTGAGCAGATGAAGGGCATATTGTGATGAAAGCAGGACAGGCAGGGCCACCAAGGGGTCAGAAAACCTGTGCCCTGCCCTGCCCTTCACCCTTCCTGGCTTGAAACCTTCATTTATGTGAGGTATCACTTGAGAAACAAGACCTAGAAATCCCGGTAAGAGAGGCAGGAAATCTCCAGATCAAAGGTTACTTTCCCTTAGACCCCAAGGAGCAATTCAAAATCCCTCAGGGGTCTACTTAGGAGGCAGGCGGCCGTACACTGTGTTTACGGCTGGACTGTTAAATTCTTATATTATTTTGATCCCACAGAAGAAGCCTGTGTGTGAGCGCTGGGGGACCCTCCCAGCACAGATGAAGAAAAGCCCCAGAGAGATGGCTAACTAGACCTGGATGACATGGCCGACCAGAAAGCAGAAGCTGCATTGTTAGCCAGATGCTGAGTGTGAGCTCTTGCACCCCGATGTACCGTCTCGCATACATGTCTTTTGGGGGGTTGTTTTATGCCTTACTTTGCTTTTGGCTGCTGTGATAATGACCATGACCAAAAGCAACATGGGGAGGAAAGGATTTGATTGGGTTCTAGGTTACACACAGTCCATCATCAGGGGAGGCCTGGGCAGGAACTCAGGGCAGGAACCTGGAGGTGGGACCTGAAGCAGAGACCACTGGGACAGGGTGAGTGTTGCTTACTGGAGTGTATGCTCCTCCTGGCCTGTTCATCTAGTTTCCTTATACACCCGGAACCACCTGTGGTAGGGGTGGTACCACCCACGGCGGGCCGGGCACTCCCACATCTTTTCTCAATGGCCCAATGTGATGGAGGCATGTTCTCAGCTGATGCTCCCTATTCCCAGGTAACTCTAATCTGCATCAAGTTGATGGAAACAACAACGAAACAGGATGTTTTATGAGCAAATTCTTTTACCTAATGCATGTGTGTATGTGCACATGTGTGGCATTCTTGTGCATGTAGATGTCTGCATGTGCACATGTGTGGCATGCCTGTGCATGTAGATGCCTGTATGTGCACTTGTGTGGCATGCTTGTGTATGTAGATATCTGTATGTGCACATGTGTGGCATGCTTGTGCATGTAGATGTGTGTATGTGCACTTGTGTGGCATGCTTGTGCATGTAAATGTCTGTATGTGCACATGTGTGGCATGCTTGTGCGTGTAGATGTGTGTATGTGCACTTGTGTGGTATGCTTGTGCATGTAGATGTCTGCATGTGCACATGTGTGGCATGCCTGTGCATGTAGATGCCTGTATGTGCACTTGTGTGGCATGCTTGTGCATGTAGATATCTGTATGTGCACATGTGTGGCATGCTTGTGCATGTAGATGTGTGTATGTGCACTTGTGTGGCATGCTTGTGCATGTAGATGTCTGTATGTGCACATGAGTGGATGCTTGTGCATGTAGATGCCTGTATGTGCACATGTGTGGCATGCTTGTGCATGTAGATGTGTGTATGTGCACTTGTGTGGTATGCTTGTGCATGTAGATGTCTGTATGTGCACATATGTGGCATGCTTGTGCATGTAGATGTCTGTATGTGCACATGTGTGGCGTGCTTGTGCATGTAGATGTGTGTATGTGCACGTGTGGCATGCTTGTGCATGTAGATGTCTGTATGTGCACATGTGTGGCATGCTTGTGCATGTAGATGCCTGTATGTGCACTTGTGTGGCATGCTTGTGCCTGTAGATATCTGTATGTGCACATGAGTGGATGCTTGTGCATGTAGATGTCTGTATGTGCACATATGTGGCATGCTTGTGCATGTAGATATCTGTATGTGCACTTGTGTGGCATGCTTGTGCATGTAGATGTGTGTATGTGCACATGTGTGGCATGCTTGTGTGTGTAGATATCTGTATGTGCACTTGTGTGGTATGCTTGTGCATGTAGATGTGTGTATGTGCACGTGTGGTATGCTTGTGCATGTAGATGTCTGTATGTGCACATGTGTGGCATGCTTGTGCATGTAGATGCCTGTATGTGCACTTGTGTGGCATGCTTGTGCCTGCAGATATCTGTATGTGCACATGAGTGGATGCTTGTGCATGTAGATGTCTGTATGTGCACTTGTGTGGCATGCTTGTGCATGTAGATGTATGTATGTGCACATGTGTGGCATGCTTGTGCATGTAGATGTCTGTATGTGCACGTGAGTGTCATGCTTGTGTGTGTAGATGTCTCTATGTGCACATGTGTGGCATACTTGTGCGTGTAGATGTCTGTATGTGCAAGGGTGAGAGGAAACCTTCAGGTGTTAGTCTTAGGATGTCATCCACTTCCTTTGTAACAAGTTCTCGTTGACCCAGAGCTCAACAATTAGGCTTGACTGACTAGTCAGTAAGCTCTGCGGATTCTCCTGCCTCTGCCTCCCTGGCACTGGGATTTCAAGTGCATGTCATCGAGCCAGGCTTTTTGTTTATTTTTTTTAATCTGGAAAGTTGTCCTTTATTAGTCCTATTTGTAGAAAGTTTGTTGTTTGGTGGGGGGGGGGCAACTGATACACTCCATTCTGTTTCATTGATCTCTTCATCTGTCCTCACAGCAGAACACACTGCCCTGAATACAATGTCTGTTCATCTGTCCCAACAACAGCACCACACTGCACGGATTACAGTGTCAGTTCATCTGTCCCAACAGCAGCACACATTGCTGATTTTTTTTTATCTGTCCTGACAGCAGCACACGCTGCACTGAGTACAATATTAGACCCTGTATTGATAGCAGACATAATGTGTGAACACACTCCAATTTTGGCCTGCAATTTCAAAAGTAACTTAAGCCAGGCTTTTTAAAACAGATACTTGGCCTAGAACCCAGGTACTATTGCTTGTAAGGCAGGCACTCTACTAACTGAGCAGCCCCATGACAAGTTGTTTTACAAACTTATCTTAGGCTTCCATTTCTGCTGACTCTCAGACATCGCCCACTTGTTCTGGCTAGTTTTATGTCAACTTGACACGGGCTACCGTCATCTGAGAGGAGGGAGCCTCAGTTTAGAAAATGCCTCCCTTAGAGTGGGAAGTAGGCAAGCCGGTAGGCAAGTGTTTTCTTAATTAGCAATTGATGGGGAAGGACGCAGCCAATTGTGAGTGGTGCCATCCCTGGACTTGTGGTCCTGGATTCTGTAAGAAAGCAGGCTGAGCAAGTCATGAGGAGCAAGTCAGTAAGCAGCATCCATGGCCTCAGCATCAGCTCCGGCCTCCAGGTTCCCGGCCTATCTTTCTTTACAGTGCTGTGGAACTGTAAACCAAATAAACCCTTTCCAACCCAAGTTGCTTTGGTCCTGGTGTCTTGTTGCAGAACTAGAAACCCTAACTAAGACAGTACCAGATGGGGAACAGGGGTGTTCTTTGCTTATGAACGCTACAAACATGCCTCCTCTAAGCACTTCTGAGTATGTGCCTCATCAAAGATAAATCTGACATGGACTCACGATAAGACTGACAGAACATAAGGTAGAGACCCACGGCAGGGAAAGAGCACACACTGTTTACAAAGTGAAGCTGAGTGGTGGCATTTATGTCTGCCTTCTTGTGTGAGGGGTGGCTGGAGGTGTGTCTTTTCATGGGCTTCTGCAGTCCCTTTAGGGCACTTCTGAGCCCATGACAAAAAGACGGGGTGGACAGGGTTATTATGGGGCATACATTACTATTCTTTCTTAGGGACAAGGTTTGACGCAGGCCAGGCTGGCCTCACGTTTGGTGTGTAGCTGAGGATAACCTGGGTGTTCTAATCCTCCCGCTTCCCACCTTTCTAGGGCTGGGGTTACAGATGTGGACCACCATGCTTCCTTTATGCTGTGCTGGGAAATGTCTGGCTTGACCTTGGAGCAACACAGAAAGAGGAGTGTGGTACACAAAGGCCAGCAACTCCCTAGTTATGGAGCAAAAGATGGAAGGACTTGAGAATTCCAGCAAACTCTGCCTTCTGCTTAGCCACATCCAAGAGAACACAGCATATGTACTGTTAGCAGAGGCCCCTTCCACTGTTCTGCGATACTCTTCCCTGTTCACTAGCGTCACTTGACATGTGTCTTGGTTGCTTTTCTGTTGTCATGACAAAACACCATGACCAAAGAAACTTATAGAAGAAGGCATTTACTTTGGGGACACACAGTTCCAGAGGGTTAGAGCCTATGACCGTCATGACAGCAAGCATGGCAGCAGGAAGGCGAAGCACTGAGCAGTAGCTGAGAGCTTACATCTGATCCCCAAGTATAAGACAGAGAACAAACACCCTGGGAATGGAGTCAAGGACCTCAGCTCTTGCTGCCCTCAGATACACTGAAGATCATCTTGACTGCCCTCTCCTGAAGCTAAAACAAAGAATTCAGAGCATTCAGAGCATACAGTGGGCCCATAAAGAAGCATGGTGTGTTGGTTTGAATGAGAATGGCCCCCGTAGGTTCGTATGCTTGAATGGTTGCTCATCAGTTGTTAGAACTCTTTGGGAAGGATGGGGAGTTGTGGCCTTGTTGGAGGAAGCGGGTCATTGGGAGTATGCTTTGAGATTTCAAAAGCCCATGCCGGGCCCAGTGTCCCTTTCTTCCTGCTACCTGAAGATCTGGATATAGAACTCTCAGCTACTTCTCCACAGCAACAGAACACTAAGACCCTGTCTTAAAAAACTATCAGCCAAAAGGGAAAAACAATAACTGAGAAAGTAGACCCATTGGCAATAAATAAGCAGTCACATGAAAGCACACCATCTTTGTCTTATTTCCTTTTACTTTTAAAACAATTATTACAGTTATTTATTCTGTGTTTGTGTGTGTGTGTGTGTGTGAGTGTGTGTGTGTGTGTGTGAAACAGAACATGTGTGGAGGTCAGAGGACAGCTTGCAAGAGTTGGTTCTCTCCTTCCACCATGTGGGTCCTAGGGAATGCAACTCAGGCCTTTGGACTTGGTGACTGTTGTTCATACCTATAAACCATTTCATCAGTTTATTTTATAATTTTTTAAAGAATTGTTTCTGTGTG